TCACTCCACGCTGTGCGCGGCTCGCTGGAGTTGGCCTCCACCACCCTCATCCCCAGCGGCTCCGCAGCGTGGCCCGACTCCACGTAGCCCCACTTCGCGTTGAAGACAGAGTCGTATACACCCTCCACCGGCACCGGCGCAACCGTAACCGCGGCTTCCTGCCTTGCCCTTTCGTTTGCCTGCGCCGCGGCAAGGGCATTGTTGAGTTTTGTCCTTGTAATAGGAAAAACAATTTCCTTATGTTCAAAATCCCCCCAGCGTTGGAGATTACCCACGTCAAGCTCCATCAGCCTGCGTGCGTCAAACAGGAACTGATACTCTGGTGAATTAAGAATTTCTCCTAGGAGCCACTCGTCCCTGATGTAATGCTCAGGTCTACGCGCAAGCACCCCCATCATTACATTGTGTTCTTCATCGAGCACGAAATTGGGAGCAACGTACCTCCTGATGAAGTCGCTTAACGTCATTTGCCTTGTAGCATCTAATCCCTCCAGCAGTACTTCCTCCACGGTGCTGATAAGGGCCCACTGCGGGCCCGCAGGTGCTTCGACCCTTCGGCGTTGCGCTGGGGGTGCCGTGGAATCGCCGCTGTCGGGTTCCGCCCTTGCATGCCGCGGGGGCAGCGGCACATCAGTGACTGGGCTCTCCGCGGCACGCGCCCTCGTTCGCTTTGGAGGCATTTCTTTCCTTACTTGTTTTACTTTGTTGTAGTTGTTGTTGGCTTGAGCTGAGGCCGAACAACAACCACCAGCCAAAAGGAGAACGAGGGACAAAAAAAAAAGGCACACACACACTCAAGCAGGAGGGCCACCGCGACAGCAAGTGGGCGCCCCACGCACTCACCGGCAGAGTGTAGGGGAGAGTCAGTGACAACAACAACAGCGTGGCGGGTGCGGGGGGTTGCCGCTCGCCACGCCGGTGAGAGACACGTCACCGCACACACACACGCACACGTGGGAGGAAAACGCAGCGCGGAAGCCCCCAGAGCCAATGACACAAAGAGCAAACACCACAGAAAAAAAAAAGCATCCCACTGCGCCACACGTGGCAGCACTAGTGTTCAGACAGAAGAACGAAGTAAGGCACGCCACCGCAAAGGCAACTCTCATTGCCCACTCCACCGCAGAATTATCACTGCGTCGGCCACTGCTGCAGGTAGACGGGAACCAGTCCACGCCGTCACGCCCCCCGCCACCGACCCGTAGCCCTCGCCCGCAGTTGCGTTGCGTCGCGGGGCCGCTGGAGACCGCTTCCAGAATGGGGCCTCGCACCAAAGGGGGAAAAGGGAGCACGCAGCAGAGTTTACCCCCTAACCCTCTCCCTGGGGCGCAAGAAAACCCACCGAGTTCCACAATTGCAACGCCCCGCCCCCCAAACAAATGGAGAGAAGCGCACCTTGAGAAGAGGGATAAAAAGAAGAAGTCTCTCCCCAACCCGTTCAGTTTCTCCTCTTTTTTTTTTACCCGACCAAACACGCTGTGTTGCGAGATGCAACACCGCCCGCAGCACTTCGGTGGCGGCAATGCACCCCACGCACGCACTAACCGCCGAAGGAGACCCTCCCAAACGCACTCGCCCAAGAGGCAGCGTCGCCGCACCTCCTCCCGCTGCGTTGGCGCCGCCCACATTGTTTCCCCGCCACCCCCCCACCCCACCGCACGGTGCACGGCCGCAGGCCGGACGTATCCCGGGGAAAACACACGAATGTGCGACGCCTCTCATCGGCCTCGGCACCCCATGAACGGCAGAGCCGTGGAGTCCAAGTGCCGGTCAGGGAGCGAAAGTGGAAGGAGAAATGATGCGCAAGCGAATGCGCACGATGCAGCAGGAAGAGACCGTGAGCACGTCCGCACTCTCCGTGGAGCCCATCCCGAGTGCTGCGCAGATTCGTCCCTGTGGCGAAGGGGAACGAGAGCAGTGGGAGGGAACCAAACAGCAGGAGACACGGAGCGGGGAAAAGGGGCAGGATTGGAAAAAGCGCCAACAGGTCGCCCACCACGCTCGGCGCCGCAGCCCCAAACCCCCCGCACACGCAGGGAAATAATAATAATAACAGCAAACAAACCAGGCCAGCATCTTCGGCACCACCGCAACGAACAGCAGCAAGGGCACCCAGGGAAAAAGAATAACAATAACAATAGTGGTGGGAACAGTCAGAAGTTCCATCGCCAGCGTTGCGATGCATAAAAGCGTGGGGCCTCTCCTCCGAGTTTGTGGCACGAGCACGACGCGAGAGAAACCTCCAACGCAGTTCAAGGCAACGAATGCAGGGAATCTGCGAGCACAGACGCAGACGGTGGGTGCCTCTCACCGCATTCGCCACCACACGCTGCCTCACACTACTCTACACAGACACACACTGACAGATGCGCGCCGCTGAATAGGCGAGCACGCACCGACGCCGCCCTTGCCGTGACGCTGACAGCAGATGCGGTCATTCGCCGCAGCAGAAGGCCCGAACCGTGGTAGGGAAAAGACGCCCGCGGTGGTCGAGGACGCTTCTTCTTCTTCAGTGCTGCCTGACAAGCTCCCAAAGGAA